TGTGTTGACACTCACATGAATTCAAAACATTGATTAATTATGGTGTATTTAAAGTAGCTGTGTTTGTAAAACCTTAGTGCTGTAAATTTAGAGGAGCCAATGATAGTATTGCAATGAAATGTGGATAGAATAAAGTACACACATTCCGGTCAATACTGTTCAGTGGTCCTTTAGAGAACCGGTTGGATACTTCGAGCACAGTTTGGAGAGTTGAGGACAAAAAAAAAGGGAAGACTTTAGGTTGTGAAACGCTCAGCCGCTTCCAGGAGGAGACGATGAAGGATGCGCAGACCCTCTCGATTCAAGTGAAGCAAGTCTACTCGGCGATTCTGATGACCTCTTTTAGGAAAATAAAACTTTTCGTAAAATCGGCGGTCAGGCTCCCAAGAGTCTTGACGCATGAAGGGAGAGAAGCTGTCAACCACAAGAACACGATCACGCAATGATTCTCTGGAGCAAAAGCTCGACAACCATTGATTGACCACATCAATCTTGCGATTGACATGCGCAGGAAAGAGAGGAATAGGAGGGATTCTGCCGACGACGATGAAGCGAAAGTGTCTTTCGGCATAAAGAAGGAGGGCCTTCAAGGCCTGTTTAAGGGCTGGGACATCAACTTCCGCCTTGATGTCGTTAGTCCCTGCTAGAATGATAAGAATATCCCTGTCTTTGTCGAAGGCTTCATTTCTTGAAAGGCGCTTAAGAATCTGGGTTTTTAGGATCGATCGGAGCCACAGATCATGGTTTGCCGGAGGGAGGCAACAAGCAGAAGCACCACTAACTGCCAAGGATACAGAATCTTCGACAGGAAAATTATTAAGCATACGAACCAATTGACTGGCTCCAAGGAAAACGTACATGATGACAGATGAAGTAACTAGGTTAGGTGTGAAGAATACAAAGTAAAGACAAATCAAGAGAAAAGATTAGCTCAGAAGAGGAACAAGAGTTTGGACCAGAGATAAGAGATCAGTTGGAGAGCGGATAAGATACGAACGTTACGCTACCTGATTAATTCTTCCAAAAAAATAGGAAATTATCAAGATAACAACCCAAGCCTCCTGTGCGAAGTTGAGCAGAGAATGGAATGGAATGGAGTACGGACGGGCGCATGCAGAAGGAGGTGGCAAGCCGGCCGCTGTTGGCTTTGGCCATGACGTAAGATGCACACTGCCCAATGGGAATGAGGGTTTCACGCCTTACGTGACCCAAATATGTCACGATCTTCTTTTGCTATATCGTTGCTTGATGTGACGTAGGCTTGTACATTTCTCCGCTCGCCACCACCTCCTGAATGATGAGATTATCATAAGAAGAGTCGATTAATTTCATTAATTAACGGCTTAACAAACTTAAATCGCAACCGATTTTGCCACAAAACCTGTTTCTATAAATGACGACCGCTCTTTACAAGGAAATGACTGCAACCAGCAAGACAACTTGTCTCTGGTGCAGAGGTACCCCTTTACTTCGTTATGGCATCACACCGTCAACCTGTCGCTACCTGTCATGCCCCGTCTTCAGTGTTTTAATTCTTCATTATGAAAAAATTAATGACCCTGGTGATGTGCTTGATGCCCATTGTTAAAGAATTAAAGACATTTTTCAAAATTTACAGTCTTTCAAAATGAGCTTTCCGTGTGATTTTGCTAAAAATGGACAATTGAGCGTAGCCCCCCC